AAAGGAAAGCCGTCCTGCGAGGGACGTCACCTTCGTCGTTTGCAGTATGTCCACCCATACACTTTAATGTTCGCATCAGTTGCAATCGAGGCGTCTAGCTGCAGAATACATGTGTTTACGAACACTAGTTAGTAGCAGTGTTCATCACATTTGCCTTGTGAGACACATGTACAAGCGCAACAAGAAGTATACATCTAAGAACAAACACATAGAAAACTACAGAGACCATTACCACGATCACGACCCCAACCATGGCCACGACAACCACCATCACGACCGCTGCCACTGTTGCAAGTCTAGTCCATGATATCCGTACGATTAATGAGAAGAGCAGAACAGAACACGGAGCTGGGCTTGGGCTTCGGCTTGGCTGGATCTGGCACCTAGCGGTACCTCATGGCCGAATCTGATGGCGGTGCATGTGCTCATGATGTGACTTTCGCAGGAATGTGCGTGCAGTGTCATCGCATCGTATCCACTGCACCGGACAAGGCAAAGGCCATGCAGCGCCCAGGTTTTATCACAACGGCTTTAGATTTGCAGGTGTCTGCATCGCTCCTCTCGAGCTTGGATGCTGATGAGCAAATCCGCCGGGCTTCTGAAAGAAAGCTAGTACTTGTCATGGACCTGGATCACACCCTGGTGACTGCTGACATACGGAGTATGCCATCAAAGATGAAGATTCGGAAGCGGCCCGGCGTAGACGACTTCCTCCAGGCGACGAGGGACACCTGCGAAATTTATGTCTACACGCAGGCAACAGGCGCCTATGCACAGAAGGTCCTGGAGATCTTGGACCCTGATCGCCGGTATTTTGGAGATCCACCGCGCATCTTTCACCGAGAGAACACGCCACAAGGTTTCAAGGACCTGTTGCCCAGTCCAGAAATCAAGGGGCCCCCATGTGGATCTTGACTTCGAGTTTCTCAAATTCGACCAGAATCCCAGCCTCTGAGCCCCTCGGTGTGACACATGCCCAGGACCTGTCGCAGATCTTGCCAAAGGATGCAACTTCTGCATTGATCGTGGATGACCGGGAGGAGGTTTGGCCGGCGGTTGTGCGGCAGTCTCAGCTGTTGAAGGTGGGGAGGGGGCCCAACACATGCCGGTTTTGAGTTTTTTGGTTTTTGTGCGGGAGACAGTACAGTACAGTTATACTTAAACCCTGAAGCAAATCTCACTTCACCCTAAGCCCTCTACCTCAAAACCCCACCAAACAGTTGCATCAGATCGGCGCCTAAATCCCTTACTAAATCACCGAGCGGACCTCTCTGGGACCTGGCCGAGTCTTGGAATGGACGGCTGACCCCTTCGTTCGTAGACGACATGGCCTTCAATATATCCTATTAGACGGATGAACAGATACCAGCGCTTTTGCCTTCCTAGGAAGAAACCATAGTGACCATCATGTACCCCCAAGCTCTGTTCCAACGATTAAGGCCCCCTGCATGACCAGTAGCCTGCCGTGACTTCAGGACATCTCATCAAAGCTGAAGCCCTAAGACTGCAACGAGGTCATCCCCTATCTGCCGTTTGAAGGGGATGCCCGTCAGCACCTGGACTTTGAGGGCAAGCTCACCGGCGCCACTGCGGCCGATCCCTCCAATGTTTCCTTACCCTGGTCCGCGCTTGGGCTTTGCTTTTAGTACTTCGTGGAGTGTCAGAAAATAAGAAAGGGCCATTAAACTATTCTCGCATTGCAAGCTATACTTCCTTATTCATTGTCCTTGGCCAGACTTGAGCTGGTTTTTGAATCCAAGTTGCTTCAGAGGATCGTGGGGCTGGAAAACTGTTCCGTGATGTACTTTGCCGAGGGATCCAGCTCGTGGGGTTCTGAAATCCTGAACTCATGTTCTTAGGTAACCATGGCTTTGCTTTGTAAAGTTGGGGTTCTGAAAATCCTGAGGGGCTACGGTTATCTGGTGCACCTCCTCTGGGACTACATCCTCTCAGAATCCGCAGGGTTGAGCTATGTTTGTTTGAGCCCGCCTGGGACACCGAAGTCTTCGATATTCTTTTAAGACCTAGAGGTACCGGGCACCTCAGCCAAAGCCTCCTTCGTGGCTGCATTCTTACATTGCGGTAGGTACATACCTGCCTCTGCACTTGTTCGTCTACGTGTTCTTTAATCTGTTTTTTTCTTGAGCTTTTTGTTTAGTGTCCTGTAGATGGGTGTTAACTACGAAGCCCAAAACCTGCTAAGCTTCAGAGCTCCTGAGGCCCTGGACCCAAAACCCTCAAACCCTGAAGCCCAAACTCTCAGGAGCCAAAGCGCCGGAAGATTGACGCAGCTTTCTGCGAGTCGCACTGGCCCTTGCGGGCGAGAGATTTCCAACTGAAGCACCTGGAGACCAGGTTGCAATTTTGCCCAGGGTTTTCTGAAAAGTTTCATAAGCCTGAAAGAGGGTCAAAATGCTTCTATACTACTACAGTCGCGGAGCAGCACCCCTTTACCCTTTCGACTTTTGGTGTCTCCGTCGTTGAGTGAACGGTAATAGGGGTAGTGTTGATTTTTACGAGATTGCTGGAACACCTAGGAGAACATCCTCCGAGACTTACACGAGGCCGGGATTGATGGGTGTGGTTTTTGGCAGCCCTAGGCCCTTGAAGACTCTCGGCCGAAACTGTAACTCCCGAACCTCTAAAGCTGAATCCCTAACCCTACAAGCCCTTGGCCATGGAATGCTGAACGCCCAAAGGCTCAGCCCTAAACCCAAATCGTGCTGTTCGCAGGCAGTCTTCCTCCCCAGTACAACGGAGGATTCCATGGGAGGGGAAGGCGGGGAAGGGAGAAGCGTCGCCTCCTCCTTACCTGCATTACGCTTCTTGGCTAAATCCAAAGCCCTGAACCCATTGCGCTTCTTGTCTTTGTCGCTGTTCCGGGTTCCTCTTCGGGCACTCTTGGAGTTTGGTGGTCCGGATTCAGGGTCAGGGCGGTTAGGGAATTAGGGGATTAGGGGAAGGTCTCTCCTTTCTGGCTTTCGCTGTGGATTCCTGCTCCCAGGAAGCCGGACGCTGAAGGGTTGCCGCCTCTGCCTCACCGGCTTCTTTCACTCCGATCTCCAGTGGCCCGAGCGTAGCTGGGCTGACACTTCATCGGGCTGTTGTAGTAGGTACGGGCTTCAGAGCCACTTCGGTTTACTCTAGGGCTGTATGTATGCAGCAGGGGAGGTAGGCCGGCAGGGCAGGTAGGCAGGTAGGCCACACGAAAAAGCATGTTTGTAAGTTCTGCATGTGTGGTCCCGTTGCTTCTTATGGACGACAAAGCAGGATGCTGTCTAATACAGAGTGGAAGAGTGTCCACGTATAGTCTGTACATTGTAGTATAATATATCACCGAAGCCTTATTCTAATGAGAGCCTTTCAGGATTGGGTGCGAAGCTGGTGACAGCCCCGGAGAATGCCACACATGTGGTGGTGGCAAGACGGACTGAGAAGTGGTTCAAGGCACTGGCACTCCAGCAAGGAGGCCGCGTGTCGAGCGGGGTTGTTGAGGTTCTGGGGTTTGCCAGTTTGGTATGTAGATGTATCCCTCAATCTGGTTAGAGTCTGAATACTTTTGGTTGTACCAAAATCATACGTGGTTTCGAGCCCCTAAACCTCGGCCAGTCCTACTGCTCCAAATCGGAAGGGAGCATCCCAGGGGCTCTTCTGAGCCAATGGGAGAAGTTAAAGCTTTTAGGCTCATGCTTTCGGTCTCTTTCTCTCTCTCTCTCTCGCTCTCTCTCTCTCTCTATATATAATTATAAGTATATAGTTATATAGTTATAAATAAAAAATAGATAAAACTTGTATTTGTATATAAATATATATATATATATACACATACTCATTCATTCATATATATATATATATATATATATATATATATATATGGATAGATATTGCGAAATTACAGTCGTGGGCAGCTCGGGGCTTTGCCTCGCGAACCCTAGACCCTGAACCTAAATCCCCGGAGGCGGGCTTTCCATCGTGCACCCTGGCTGGCTGCTCTATGCGGCGGTCACATGGCGGAGGCCCTGCGAAGAGAAGCCATCAGGTTGCTGGTGGAGTGCTCTTTTTTTTTGGTTGAGATCTGTTGAGAAGGCCAAAGCCCCCCCGAAGATTACGAGAGAAGCCCTGAAGCCTAGAGTCTACTGTAGACTTCTGTATTTGCGGCATCCGAGGTTCCCCTTCCCCAAGGAGGGCAGCTGCAAAAGCTTCCTTGACATCTGGGGATCAGAGGCCCTCGGTCCAGAGGATGGCGAGCCTCTCGAGAAAGAGCGTGCAGGATGGTTTCTCGGGTTTAGTCTGACTTAGGGCCTAGCTTAGAAGGAGATATTACCGGGGCTCCGTCTCAGGGTTCTGAAGAAGGGGGTTGTAGTCTCAGGGGTTTCATTCTTCTAAGGGTTGGTTTGTGGCCGCTTAGGGCCGAAGGCCCAGCATCCAGGGCTTCGGAAATCTGAGGCTTGTGGTCCTGGCCGGATCCAACTTGCCAAAGACCGACCCCTATAAACCATAGGCTCACCAAGCCATAGATGCTCAATGCTGAAAGCGATTGAAATCCCTGGAGCCTTAAATCCGAAATCCCTAAACCCAAAACCCCGAATGCCTGCGGTGGGAGCTGATGAAGACGTAGTAATGGCATAATTGCATCAGTGTACTCCCCGAAAGCCCTTGTATGGTTATACCGTTATGCTACAACAAACCACCAAACCCAAGTCCAAGCAGTAACGCACCTTGATTGAACCCCCTTCTTCTAGAACCCATTAATTACCCTTTTCAGAGCCCTTTAAGGGATCCCTATTCCAAACTTGCTGGCTCGATTTATCAAGCCTAAGCCCTAAAGCCTATTTCCGGAACCCCCAACCCCCAAACCCCTAAACCCCTAAACCCCTAAACCTTAAACCTTAAACCTTAAAGCCCTAAGCCCTAAACCCCTAAACCCCTAAACCCTTAAACCTTAAACTTTAAAGCTCTAAGCCCCAAGCCCAAAGCCTGGGAGCAACGGCGACCTCGAGGTCGCTAGACCCCGACACCTGGCGGACGATCCTTCGATGACAGGGCCCCGGCAGCGCGCATCGACGCTCTGGGTGTAACATGCTGTATTGCTACCGTCAGCGTTTCTATCAGGTGAGGGTTTAGGGTTTAGGGTTTAGGGTTTAGGGTTTAGGGTTTAGGGTTTAGGGTTTCAGATTTCTAGCATACCAACCATTGTTATAGGAATATGTATATATCACGTTTTCAAGGCACAGCTTCCGAGTCGGACGCAGCCATATTGGCATGCACTAAATGGCGCAGAAATCTACAGACATAGTATGCACAGGGGTGGGATGTACGTAACCAGCAGACGGAAAAGCTGTCCCACCCCTACAAAGTCAAACATGAGGCACATGGAAACCGTCAGAGAATTGTCAAATCTGGTGACTGTCATCAGAGACTCCTCTGCCGCGCAATATGCGAGCGTGTCCTCCAAACCAATGTGCAGCATGGCCAGCATGTCCTCTATATGGCGCAGCGCCGGGGCGGCGGTGTGTGGGGGTATAGATACATATATCTAAACGAAATAGCATGTGTAACGGTATAGTGTAGTACGAAAACATGATATAATATACAGTATAATAAAGTAGAATACACTATAAGATAGCAGAACAGAGTATGTTTTGATATGATATGGTATAGCGTTTCATGACACAATATTTTATGTATAAGGTTTCAGAAAATGAAAATGTCACATAGTATAATAAGACATATATACATATGTAACATAGTAATATATAGTGTAGTATCACCTACGGTAGCAGAATGGAACATGATATGATATGTGATACGATATGACATGGTATAGTCCAATATCACATGGTAAAACATAACATAATATAACAAAATGTAATGTTTCGGAAAAGGAAAAGTCATACAGTACAGTCATATATATATATATATATATACATATAAATAAACGCCATACCACAAAATAATGCGATACGGCATCATATAATGTGATGCAATAAAGCACAGTATAATATACTATAGTATATAATCAGACATAGAAATACAGCATGATACTAGTTTATGATGCACAATGCTTCTGTCTGTCTGTCTGTCTGTCTGTCTGTCTGTCTGTCTGTCTGTCTGTCTGTCTGTCTGCCTGTCTATATGTATGTATGTATGTATGTATGTATGTATGTATGTATGTCTGTAATTATGTAACATGTATGTATGTACGCATGCATGCATGCATGCATGCATGCATGCATGCATGCATGCATGTATGTATGTCTGTACTTATGTAACATGTATGTATGTATGTATGTATGTATGCATGCATGTATGTATGTATGTATGTATGTAAGTAAGTATGTATGTATGCATGCATGCATGTATGCATGTATGTATGTATGTATGTATGCATGTATGTATGT